CTGCTGCCGCCGCTCGACACAGGCGCCGCTGCTGCCGCCGCTCGACACAGGCGCCGCTGCTGCCGCCGCTCGACACAGGCGCCGCTGCTGCCGCCGCTCGACACAGGCGCCGCTGCTGCCGCCGCTCGACACAGGCGCCGCTGCTGCCGCCGCTCGACACAGGCGCCGCTGCTGCCGCCGCTCGACACAGGCGCCGCTGCTGCCGCCGCTCGACACAGGCGCCGCTGCTGCCGCCGCTCGACACAGGCGCCGCTGCTGCCGCCGCTCGACACAGGCGCCGCTGCTGCCGCCGCTCGACACAGGCGCCGCTGCTGCCGCCGCTCGACACAGGCGCCGCTGCTGCCGCCGCTCGACACAGGCGCCGCTGCTGCCGCCGCTCGACACAGGCGCCGCTGCTGCCGCCGCTCGACACAGGCGCCGCTGCTGCCGCCGCTCTACACAGGCGCCGCTGCTGCCTCCGCTCTACACAGGCGCCGCTGCTGCCTCCGCTCTACACAGGCGCCGCTGCTGCCTCCGCTCTACACAGGCGCCGCTGCTGCCTCCGCTCTACACAGGCGCCGCTGCTGCCGCCGCTCGACACAGGCGCCGCTGCTGCCGCCGCTCGACACAGGCGCCGCTGCTGCCGCCGCTCTACACAGGCGCCGCTGCTGCCTCCGCTCTACACAGGCGCCGCTGCTGCCTCCGCTCTACACAGGCGCCGCTGCTGCCTCCGCTCTACACAGGTGTAGTGATTGTAGAATCACTACTGTGTACACACGCACAAGCGTGACGTCACTATGCGGGGGAGCGTCATGACCACGCGGGTCTACACACACGCATGACGTCATCCCGGCTGGAGGCGGGAATGACGTCAGGGCCGGTTCTGGGCTCCGGGAGGCCACGAGGGTGGTGTGAGGCCGTGGCACTCTCTGTGACCCCGGCTGGACACGTGACTGGACCCCAGTGGGGGCTGGGGGCCTAGGGGGCACCTCGGAGGGCACGTGGACAGCAGGGGGGCTTCGAGAGGGTTTTCGAAGGGAGGCGTGGCCGGGGTGGGGCCCGGGCACGCCGAGGCCCATATAAGCAGCCTCCTCACGAGGTTCGAGGCTGCCCGCATCAAGAACGAAGATGCATCGTGAAGACGCCAAGAAGAGTCAAGCCTCCAGTCAGCGGACCTGGCAGTAGCCACCTGGCTGGGTCACGCTAGAGTATTTGAGAAGTATGTGTCAGCTAGAGTAGGTTGGTGGTCACCACCTTATGTGCAGTGTTATATTACTTACCGTTCTAATAAATCAGCGTTGCCTCCCAAGGAGTCGTGTGTGCACCTAATTCGAACTCACTACATTTGGTGTCAGAAGTTGCGGAAAAATAAATAACGTTAGGTGTTATCTTAGTCAGTATATGTGCACGATTACTACAACTTACCTGATCGCTTTCACACGACGAGGAGGCGAGACGATCATCTTCGGGGCAGCCCTGGGGTTCTGCAGCCTCGGTGAAGGAGGGAGATGGCGCTGCAGGCGGGGCAGCAGCACGCACATCACGTCGCTGCTTCGCCGCCATCGAGAGAGAGAGCGACGGAGCTGGAGGAGAGAGTCCGCCGCTGCTGCCGTTTCCTTGGGCGGGAAATTTCGCGCGCGCATGGTGCACGCGCGGCCGCCATCTTGGCGGGCGGTCGGGACGCGGTTCCCGCCAAAACGCCGTTCCCGCCATTCTCAACGCCTGTGGAGGGAGATCTTGGGCCGTCTTGGTGGCATCCTGTGCTCACCATCCAAGAGTCTTCAAGTTCCACAGTGCAGCCTCCGTTCCTCACGGCCTCTCAGGCGAGTCGTGACACAATGCACCCGGCCCTAAAAACACACTTCACCCATCTTGCGTGCGCCGGGTTGCGATTAGGTGTTTTTTTTTACTCGCTGGGTTGCGAAGCGTGTTAGTTGGGTTGGGTGCGTGGCAGATTGACGCGGCGCCCGTGCGTGTGTCTGCTTTGTAACAGTGTTAAGTACGGCGTCGGGATTGCTATCTTAAGGAGCCAGTTAATTATTAATTCGGCTATGTGGGGGGTCTCGGCCTCCGTTAAGATCCAGTGAATTGCCGGGTTAATGATTTGTTGACACTTTGTTTGATTGCCGTTGCGGAGTCGCGATTGTTTTTGCGTATACAGTATGGCGCTTCGCTCGTGAATGTTGTCAATGTGTGACTGTGCGAAACTTTGCTTGTGAGTGTTAACAATGTATGCTTTGTATGGAGCTTTGTTCGTGATTGTTAATATATAGCTTGTGCCACATTTGTTAACGAAGTGTTGATTGTATGGGATTTTTCTCGAGATCGCGATGTGTGGACTGTGTGTACTGCATAGACTGTCTCTCTGCACTGATACGGGTTGTGACGTACATTGTTGTGATCCTTGTTGCGGATCGTTAAATTGTGATGGTGACATGGTGCCAGTGATTTGGATTGTGCTGCTGGCTGTGGCTAATCTGGGCCAAAGATCCTGACCAGAATGCCCCCCTGTCATTGTTGCGTGTTGACACGAGTGTGGTCCCGTCATGGTGTGGCTGACGGCTTGACCTGACAGCCCGGAGATTGAGACACTCCGTGGCGTGTCTATCCTAGTGGGCAGTTCGCTCACATGGCTCGGAGAGTGTGGTCCCGTCATGCTGTGGCTGATGGCTTGACCTGGTGGCCCGGAGATCGAGACACTCTGAGGCGCGTCTGAGACAGTGAGCCAGAGGCTCAGGGAGCTTGTGGTGAGTTGCTCGCTCAGCTCGGTTGGTACAGCTAAATGCTGCAATGCGAGTCCTGGAGAGAGGTGTTCTTGTGTCTTCTCAGCTCGGTCGGAACAGCTACATGCTGCGATGCGAGTCTTGGAGAGAGACTGGGTTATAATTCCCCCGATACGGCCGACACGTGCGCGTCGGAAAGGCGGGGGGTGCTACCGAGTGGCATGAGATGTCTGGGTTGGCCTTCAAGGGAGGGCTTCTGAGTTGTGCGAGCGCGGAAAACGCGCGTGGGGCCGCCATTTTGTGCGAGCGCGGTAAACCGCAGGGGATGCGGCTCGTGCATGCGGCCGCCATTTTGTACGTGCATGGGTATTTGTGTGAACCATTTCTGGGCAAGAGCAGGCATTTTTTTTGTCACGTCGATTTAACATTCTTTTTTTACAAAAAATGTAGATACTGAGGCAACGCTGAAGTGCGACTTCTTTGCCCAGTACATGGGTCAACCTGGAAGCATGACTTCCTTGACCCGGGATGTTGTACAACATCCAACGGTTGTACCTTTGGTTGCAGCATACTGGCTCGACTTTGAAGAGTGACTTCCTTGAGCCAGTACATGGGTCGACCCTGAAGTGCGACTTCTTGACCTGGGACGTAGGGAGACGTCCGGAATGTTAAGTAGTGTTTGTAGGTGGGTGTTAGACTTTCGGTCTTCGCCCTATTGCCACCTGTGGGGTGGAACGGTAACAGGGCGGTGTGAGACCCTGCCATCTATGGGGTGGTTGTGTGGTTTTGGTTTGATTTACCGGTGTTGGTTGTGCATCCAACGCGTCGGAATCTATGTATTTTTGTTTTTATTTCTTCCGCCGGGCGGAATACGATCATCTCCACTTCCCTGGGCCGGGTGGCTGTCGTGTCCGACGAGCTGAGGCGTGGGCTTGTGGTGCTGTGCCTCAGGAGGTGGTTTCTTCTTGTCACAGGATTCCTGCACCTGCCGCCCTTGGAGTCGCCGGTTATGCTGACCGGATGTGGACTTGAAGGGGAGAGTGGAGCGCCTGTACGTCACTCCTGCTCATCCTGTTGCCCAACTCCTGGGGAGGGGCCGTGCCCTTTTTGGGCCTTTTTCAAGTTCCCCCAGGACCTCCAGGGAGAGCGTGCTCGCCTCCCCTGGAGGCTCGGCCACGCGAATTCGTTTGAAGACTGGCCGCCGTCCATGACTCTCACACCTTGTTGATTGCCTGCACCGTTGTCAAGCAGCCACATTCATATGTCGGTGCATGCGTACAAATTCACACGGATGGGCTGTGCTAAGGGATAAGTGGGTTGACCAGTTCTTTTGGTGTACATGTTGTTGGTTCCCCTCATTCCATACATTCTTCCCTTCCCCTCCTCTCGGTGTGTGTACATATGTTTCTCGGGGTGATTATTGTCGGTCGCCGGTTGTTTGTTGACGTTGTTGTTGGAGGCACAGTTTTTTTTTCTGTATTGTCACAGCCGAGACGGCTGTTTTTTTTTTACATGGGGGAGGGTGATGTAGTGATTGTAGAATCACTGTGTACACACGCACAAGCGTGACGTCACTATGCGGGGGAGCGTCATGACCACGCGGGTCTACACACACGCATGACGTCATCCCGGCTGGAGGCGGGAATGACGTCAGGGCCGGTTCTGGGCTCCGGGAGGCCACGAGGGTGGTGTGAGGCCGTGGCACTCTCTGTGACCCCGGCTGGACACGGAGTTAGGGTGAGAGATGGCGTGATGGTCAGGGCTAGAGACAGAGTTAGGGTGAGAGATGGCGTGATAGTCAGGGTTAGAGACAGAGTTAGGATAAGAGATGGCGTGATGGTCAGGGTTAGAGACAGAGTTGGGGTTATATTGAGTTAGGGTTTGATACGAGTCAGGGCTGTGTGTACAGTAGTAAGAGTCACAAAACACAAATGTTTACATCTCCGGACACAGTATGTATTTAACTTCTTTTAAACTAATCATGCACTGCCCAGCTCACCCTGCTCTCTGAGCCCTCCTGTCTCTCACCTGGCTGCAGTGTTGACTTCGACATCACCACGAGAATAACGAGCGAGTAATCTTAGATACGAGGTTGCGAAAGAGAGGTACTGGTTGTGAGAGAGAGGTACTGGTTGTGTGAGATGCGTTACCTTCCCGATGTCAACGCTAAGATTGGCAGTGGAGCTCTTCCTGCCCCAACAATTCAGGCGCATATCTCAAAGTCGCGCAGCGCACAAGCGGTCACCGGGTTTGACGATTCGGTCAACCCCGACCTGGGACGACTCAGAGCTCTCTCACCTCTCGCAGCAATAGCGGTGGCGGCTCCTGCTGCTCCTGTCCCGGCCTCTGTTACTGATTGGGTTTGCTTCAGCGATGAGCTCAGTGCAGGCGGCTCTCTCCTGACCTCTGGCTCGCTCTCCGCTTCTACCCTCGCCTCGTCCTCCTCACCAGCTACTCACCGCTGAGTGAGCGTCTCTCGCCCAGCGATGCGGGGAGGTGCAAGGGGGGGCGGGGAGTTTCACTTCGCTTGCCTCCCTGCCAGGGGCTTTCCAGGCTGGGACGCGGGGCGGGGGTCGCACCCGGGCTGGCCACGTGGTCTGGTGGTGTTTGTGCAGTGAAGGGCCATTGCCCAAAACGTCGCCTGTTATATATTTTTTTATTTTAAGGAAGCATCATTGACGAAGTTGTTGGGTTTGATGATGGATGTGTTTACACTGTGTGGTGTATGGAGTGTTAAGTGTGGTATGATGATGGGTGTGTTTACACCGTGTGGTACATGGTGTGTATAGTGTGTAGTGATGATGGTTGTGTTGACACTGCGCAGTGCAGGATGTTTTATATTTTAGCAGCAGTTACATGTTTGTACAGATGCTCATTAGGGATCATCCAGTTTTAGGGTTGTGAGTGCATTGAATAACTCCTCAAATTTTCAAATAATTTATTTTATTTTGAAATTGGTAAATGTCTTTAGATATTTTTTTTTAAATAAAGAATACTGTAATGTGCACCTCAAGTTTGTGTGGATCACACTTCGGGTTCCCTGTTACTAATTGGGTTTGCTTTGGTAAATTACACAAAATTGTTTGTAAATGAATGCAGTCACGTTTTTATTCACGTTTTGAACCGGTTCCCTGTTGATGTAACACATGGAGCAAGTACCGATGCTCGCTGTTTGCATCACGACCTGTCTGCGTAACTGTGATTGTGTAGCTAACAATTGTGCCGCATTGGGACGCTCTCAAAGTTCCGTTCACATTCTCCAGAATGAGAGAGGCAAACTAAGACAAGTCAAAGTGAACGACTCTGTCTCTCGTCTCAACCAGCACGGTGTGGCGCTCATTTTCATTGGTGGCTCTGAGTCAGCAGTGGAAATTCGTGAACCCGTTCAACACAGAGGCTGGGTGCCCACCGGCACGCTCACTTTGCTCACCCGCCCATACTGGACATGTGTGAGAAAGAGATTCAAAGCTCATCAGATTCCTCCACTCTAAATACAGATTCTGATTCTGACTTTACAACACCACGACTGGTTTGAGGGTCAAAGTAACGCGTTCCGCACAGTGCCCGGATACGGAACCCAAGCACGCAGGTAACGTACGGGGCTTTCCGACAGTGGCGGTGTTGTTCGCTCGCGGGTTCCTGAGACGCTCGGCACACGAAGCTACCCTGCAGCCCAACCACACCCAGCACCGTGCATGTGGGCATGGTCCCTGTGTACCTGTGTACAGGTGTGTAGGTACAGATACACAGTGAAACTGCATGATCTCCCTTATGTACCTATGTACAGGTGTGTAGGTACAGATACACATTGTAGCTGCATGATCTCCCTATGTACCTGTGTACAGGTGTGTAGATACAGATACACAGTGAAGCTGCATGATCTCCCTATGTCCCTGTGTACAGGTGTGTAGGTACAGATACACAGTGAAGCTGCATGATCTCCCTGTGACCTGTGTACAGGTGTGTTGGTACAGATAGACAGTGAAGCTGCATGCTCTCCCTATGTACCTATGTACAGGTGTGTAGGTACAGATACACAGTGAAGCTGCATGAATCTCCCTTATGTACCTGTGTACAGGTGTGTGGGTCAACTCTACTCAAGACTCTTAAGAGGCCCAAATGCCCACTGACAGTGTTTTGGGAGTTTACCCTCCACACTCGGGATTGTCACTGCACGTGGCGTCACTGATAGATGCACAATGAATGTTTTGTCTGATGCAATATTCAGCTGTTTAGCTGTGTTCATTAACACTTCGCTAATTTGCACAAAGAACTTCACGTGTGCCCACGTTGTTATATTAGACCACAAACTGAAACATTTAGAAACTATGGCCAACCAACAGGCAGCAGTGAAACAAAGACAACTTTAGACCGGCTTCGTCTTTATGAGGACTCATCAGTGGAGCAGTCATCAGTCTTCACTGCTGCCATATGCCCCTGGGAGCCTTACGCAGGGACAGGGCTGACCTCTACGCTATGGTTGGCCATTTTTTCTAATTGTTTTAAGTTGTGGTCTAAACATACAACATGGTCACAAATGTAAGTTATGTCTGAGCTCGTGGTCTGGATGAGGCTGAGAGGCGTTGTACATGCAGTGGGCATCTCTGTGCGTTGTTAAATTGATTTGGAAAGTTGGTGCTTTAAGAGGCTGTTATTCATCAGTGGATAGAGCACGGGTAATTAGGATGAGGGATCGCTTTGAAGCCTACTTGGTTCAATATAGTATCTGGTGAGTGTCATGTGAGTGGTGTCAGGAGTGTAGTATCTGGTGAGTGGTGTCTGGTGAGTGGCAGGCGATTATTGAGTGTTAAGTGAGTGGTGTCAATGTCTGGTGGGTGTTGACTGGTATCAGGTGAGTGGTGTGATGAGTGTGAGTGTCTTGTGAGTGGTGTAAGATAAGTGGTGAGGGCTAGGTGAGTGGTGTAAGATGAGTAGTGAGTGGTGAGGGCTAGGTGAGTGTGAATGGTGAGGACTAGGTGAGTGTTAGTGGTGAGGGCTACATGAGTGTGAGTGGTAAGGGCTAGGTGAGTGTGAGTGGTGAGTGAGTGGTTGTGAGTGGTGAGTGTGAGTGCTGAGACATCAGGCTGACCACGAGTGCTGAGGACTACATGAGTAGTGTATGATGAGTGTTGAGTGGTGAGGGCTAGGTGAGTATGAGTGGTGAAGGCTGTGTGAGTGGTAAGGGCTAGGTGAGTCTGAGTGGTGAGTGGTGGTGAGTGTGAGTGGTGAGACATGGTCAGGCTGATTACGAGTGGTGAGGGCTATATGAGTAGTATACGATGAGTGTTGAGGGCTAGGTGAGTGGTGAGTGAGTGATGAGTGAGTGTGAGTGGTGAGGGCTTTGTGAGTGGTAAGGGCTAGGTGAGTGTGAGTGGTGAGTGAGTGGTGAGTGTGAGTGGTGAGGGCTGTGTGAGTGGTAAGGGATAGGTGAGTGAGTGGTGAGTGAGTGGGGAGTGTGAGTGGTGAGGGCTGTGTGAGTGGTAAGGGATAGGTGAGTGAGTGGCGAGTGAGTGAGTTGTGAGTGGTGAGTGTGAGTGGTGAGTGAGTGAGTGGTGAGTGGCGAGTGAGTAGTGAGTGGCGAGTGAGTGGTGAGTGTGAGTGGTGAGTGAGTAGTGAGTGGTGAGTATGAGTGGTGAGTGAGTGGTGAGTGAGTGGTGAGTGTGAGTGAGTAGTGAGTGTGAGTGAGTGGTGAGTGAGTGAGTGGTGAGTGAGTGAGTGAGTGGTGAGTGGTGAGTGTGAGTGGTGAGTGTGAGTGTGAGTGGTGTGTGAGTGGTGTGTGAGTGGTGAGTGAGTGGTGAGTGAGTGGTGAGTGAGTGGTGAGTGGTGAGTGTGAGTGGTGAGTGTGAGTGGTGAGTGTGAGTGGTGAGTGGTTAGTGTGAGTGGTTAGTGTGAGTGGTTAGTGTGAGTGGTTAGTGTGAGTGGTGAGTGTGAGTGGTGAGTGTGAGTGGTGAGTGTGAGTGGTGAGTAGTGAGTGAGTGGTTAGTGTGAGTGGTGAGTGGTGAGAGTGAGTGGTTAGTGTGAGTGGTTAGTGTGAGTGGTTAGTGTGAGTGGTTAGTGTGAGTGGTGAGTGTGAGTGGTGAGTGTGAGTGGTGAGTAGTGAGTGAGTGGTTAGTGTGAGTGGTTAGTGTGAGTGGTGAGTGTGAGTGGTGAGTGAGTGGTTAGTGTGAGTGGTGAGTGTGAGTGGTGAGTGAGAGTGGTGAGAGATCGTCAGGCTGACCACGAGGATTGTGATGCCGCCGCCACGGAGCCGATCGGCGGGTGGCCCACCTGCGATCTCGCCGCTCTGAGCGGCGAGGCCGACATTGCTCCACCCCACCACCTCCCCACCCCCCCCCCCCACCGGAACACACACGCACGCACTCCCCCCCACCATTAGAGCGCGTGGGGAGACACCCTGGCCGACAGGTTTTCACCCAGAAGCCCTCGTAAAGGGATAATCTTCACGGTTTCCTGCAGCCAGGGAATTGGACGGTCTCCCCCGACGCTAACACCCGCCGCGGCGCCGTGACTTTGGTTGTAATTACATGGTCACGACGGGGCTGCCGAGCCACCGCGGGTAGACAGCACACACAACACACACGGGTCAGCAGGCAGGTAGGAGGGCAGAGCCACGAGCGGCGGGAAAGCAGGGTCGCCCTCTGGCTGGAGGGTCGCTGAGCAGGTAAATTTAGATGCGGACGTCGCTGAAAGCAACGGCCCGGGGGATGCTGGGATACAGATGGGCCTACCGATTGGCGGGTGATCCCAGCGAGCTGATTGGCCCGCGAGTCGGCACCAGGTAGCCCCTTTGATGTAGAAAGAATAAAGCGGGTCAGGGCGAAGGAAAAAGGTGGTCTGGCTACTCGAGTCGACCCCAGGTCCGTCAACTCCCGAGTCCAGCCACGCGAACGTCCGTGGGACGTATCGACGCGCCGCGAGGACCAGACGGCAGTGACGACGAACCGTGAGTAAGAGAGAGAGAGAGGGAGTTGGGACTTCGCTTAAGAGCAAAACAGGAGAGGGTAAAGGGGAGGACAGGTAGAGTGTAGTGCCGACTATCGAGAGATAGATTGGTCCTGCCCCGCTGATCCCGACTGACTCGGTTAAATAAGGGCTCGCCGGCGCGGTGGAATAAATCGTCGGCGGTTACATAACGGACTGGTGTGGTTTTTGCGGAAGCGTGGGTGCGCTTACTGTCGCGGTGGTCGTTACATAACAGACTGGTGTGGTTTTTGCGCGGGTGTGGAAAGAGAGTGGAAGCGTGGGTGAGCTTGCTGTTTGCGGTTGCCGCGTGTGTGGAGCGGCGCCGCGTGGAGTGTGTGCGCTACCAACCGTCGGCTGGGGACTCCCACGTTGCGAGCGGATACCCATCTCGCATGCATGCCCATCGCATAGCCCTTTAAACCCGTTTAATCCAATCCCCCCAATCGTCGGAGTGAGCACGAACGACGTCGCTTACCCTCCGACC